AAAGCATTAGAACCTAAAACACTCAGGCTAGGGTAAGCAAGTCTTCTCTTAATTTAAGAGAAGCAAGCCAGTCTCCTATAAGCTTGAACGTAGTTAGCCATTACAAACTTAAGAGCTACTTTAGGAGCTTCATGTGGAGAACTCCTAGGTTATGAGAAAAGCACTAAACAATGCTTAATCCAATGAGAATCCTAGCTGAAGAACCAAGTGAAAATGACTTGGAAATGAGGATAAAAATGTATATTCTCTTGTAACTAAAGGCATCCTTTAAAATAAGGACCCTTCGAAGGTACTCTCTCTGATAATTCTTCTTTACCATTAGGAGTAGCAAGAAGTAGAAGGAGAAATAGGTTGATTTCCTACCCTTGAACACTGCTAGCTCAAGGTATAAATATTAGGAATCACCATTGGAAATCCTTGTAAAGTATTCCTCAAAAAAGGGAGCACTAAAAAGTGCTCATCCAGAGGTCCAGGTCAAATGGCTTGGAATATGTGAATAATAATCAATAATATTCTTGTGGCCAAAGGCATCCTTTCAAGGAACTTTCAAAAATATTCTCTCCATGGCTAATTATCCAATTCATATATGAAAATGGGAGAGAAGTAATTAAGCTTCCTAAGTGTAGGAAGAAGGGAAAAGATAAATGTGAACAATGAAATGCTTAAGAGACTTAAGAGAGTTTGAAAAAACATGCTCAAGTTTATTAGTTATATGGCCATCTCTTCACATGATACAAGGGGAGTTCAAATACTATACTTGAGCTTCTTAATGATCAATTATTTTACTTGAATTTACTCGAACATATACTATATTATAAAAGTCTGGATGCTGAGCGAAAGTTTTAGACTAAAATTACTCTCTATTTCTTTGTTTGAGAAAGGGAATACAAATTATATTACTATTGCTTTAATTTCAGTTTTAATCTATACAATATATACATGTTTGGAAGTAGAGCGAAAGATTTTTTGGACAAAAATTACCCTCTATTTCTTTATTTGAGAAAGGGTATAAAAGTCAGTTTATTACAGTTTACTATAGCTTCAATGTCAGCTCTAATAGTAAGGGTTGAAAATATAACTTCAAGTATTACTTTCCACATCATTTAATCCACTCTCATTAAATCTTATAATTAAAGTGTTAACTATCATTTTCTCTTATTATTTAAGTTATTTATCACAAACAATAGCTACAAATTAGATCTATGTCAAAATTTTTAACAATATAAACCCATATATTTTAAAACAGAAAAAAAAAACAAAACCATTCTTTATCAAAGTTGTGTCTAAGCAATTCAACCATCTGAATCAAATTGATCAACCTATGAAGTCATAGTTAGGTAATAAAATTTTTAAAATATAAATAAATATAGAAAATTATAAAAATGCAGAAAAAATAGAAACATTTATGATAATTTTCTTAATTAAATTAAATAATTTAGAATTAACCAAAAATGAAATTATTTTACTATTTATCAAATACCAATAGTTCAATTTTTGGGTCAAATGTCTTAAGCTTTATTATCATATATAAATAATAAAACTTAATAAATTATAAAAATACATAAATTTTACAAAAAAAATATTTAGGCACAATTATAATATCATATATTTATCATATTAAATAAAAAGTATGTATGACATATTAGAATTAATTTTACACACAGAAATATAAAAAAAATTATACAAAAATTGAACATACATATAGTTATATATTTACACTACTATTAAAAATATGAATAAGATTCTTGAATCTTATTATGACTAAAATACTCATTTTTTAATTTAGTCCCTATTTAAATATGAGGATTAAATTGTAAATTGAACTACTACATTTAAATATGAGGATTAAATTGTAAATTCCCCTCATTTAAATCTTACATTTTTTTGATAAATGAACAAAAAATAAAGATGCACAAAAAGTATAAAGAATACAAAAAGAAAAATCTAGACAAGTAGATAAACCTCTTAATGATAATTGAAACTTCACAACTTGATCTGATTATCACATATTTGGATGAAGTGCTTTTGTAATCAAATTTGGATTTTACACTCTAAATCCAATTAATAATAAAAAACAAAAAATAGAAAAAGTATATAAAGTTTAGAGAAAACTTTGGATACATTATTAATATCATTATCATCATTTAGAATTTCCACATGCAAAGCATGTGTACACTTATTATATTTTTAAAACAAACTAAAAAGCAAAACCACTATTTATCCAAGTGGTGGTTAAGCAATTAGACAATTTGAATAAAAATGATCAACCTATGAAGTCATAGTTTGGTAATAAAAAATTTAACATAGAAATAAATTTAGAAAATTATAAAAATGTAGAAAAAATTAGACACATCTTTGATATTTTTATTAATCAAATTAAAAAATAAGTGTAATAAATAAGAATTATTTTTATTCATAGTGAAAATGAAATACATAATATAGAATTGACCAAAAATGAAATTATTTTTTTGTTTGGAAAAGATCAATAGTTCAACTTTTGGGTCAAATGTGTTAACCATTGATGTCGTAAATAAATAATAAAAACTAATAAAACATAAAAGACATAAGTTTTGCAAAAAAATTCAGGCACGTGTATAATATCATATAGTTATCAAATTAAACAAAAGAGTAAGTGTAACATATCATAGTTAGGTAATAAAATTTTTAAAATACAAATAAATATAGAAAATTACAAAAATATAGAAAAATTAAACATATTTATGATATTTTTATTAATCAAACAAAAAAAATAAGTGTAATAAACAAGAATTACTTTTATGTATGGATAATGAAAATGAAATACATAATTTAGAACTAACCAAAAATGAAATTATTTTACTATTTGACAAAGATCAATAATTCAACTTTTGGGTCAAATGTGTTACCATTAATGTCATAAATAAATAATAAAAATTAATAAAATGTAAAAACAATAAAAATGAAAAATACATAAATTTTGCAAAAAATCATCCAAGTACATGTATAGTATCATATATTTATCATATTAAATAAAAGAGTAAGTGCAACAAACCATAATTACTTTTACACATAGAAATACAAATATATATATATATATAGAAAATTTGAATAAGATTATGAAACTTTCTTTTGACTAAAATACTCATTTTTGAATTTAGTCCCTATTTAATTGCAAGGTTTAAATTATAAATTGAACTACTGCTTTATACCTCATTTAGTTCATTCTATTTAAATCTTTTTTTTCATAAATGAAAAAAAAAAGATTCACTAAAAAAGATAAAACATTACAAAACGAAGAGTCTAGCCAAGCTGGTAGGCTTGTGAATGATACTTGAAACTTCACAACTTGATTCGATTATCACATATTTGGATGAGGTGTTTATGTAATCAAATTTGGTTTTTGCAATCTACACCTCATTAATCATATAAATAAAAAAATAAAAAACACATAAAGTTTATAGAAAATTTTGCATACATTATTACTATCATTATCGTCATCCAGAATTACCACGTGCAAAGCACGTGCACACTTACAAAAATGGGGATTAAAATGCCCATATTTGTATATGAAGTCCATCTCTAATTATAAGGGTAGAAAATATAATTTCAATTATTACTTTTCACCTCATTTAATCCCCTCCCTTTAAGTCTTATAGTTAAAAGTATTAATTCCCATTTTCTCGTATTAAATCCTATATTTAAGTTACTTTAAATAATAAATGTTATTAGTTAGATATATGTTAATATTTTTAACAATACAAGCCCATATATTTTAAAACGGATTCAAACACAAAACCATTTTTTGTCCAAGTGGTGACTAAGCAATTCAACCAACTGAATTAAATTGATCAACCTATGAAATCATAGTTTGGTAATAAATTTTTTAAAATAAAAATAAATATAGAAAATTACAAAAATGTAGAAAAATTAGACACATTTATGATATTTTTATTAATAAAATTAAAAAATAAGTGTAATAGACAAGAATTATTTTTATTAATAATAAAAATTAAATACATAATTTAGAAATAACAAAAAATGAAATTATTTTACTGTTCGAAAAAGATCAATAGTTCAACTTTTGGGTCAAATGTGTTAACATTTAATGTATAAAAATTAATAAAATATAAAAATATAAAAATGAAAAAAATACGTAAATTTTGCAAAAAAAAAAACATTCAAACACATGTATAATATTATATAATTATCATATTAAACAAAAAGTAAGTGTGGCATATCAGAATTAATTTCACACAAATATCAAAAAAATTATAGAAAAAAATGAACACATCTATAATTCTATATTTATGCTACTGTTAAAATTATGAATAAGATTGTAGAACTTTCTTTTGACTAAAATACTTATTTTTGAATTTAGTCCATATTTAATTGTGAGGTTTAAATTGTAAATTGAACTACTACTTTTAACATCATTCCCCTCTATTTATAGAAATTTTTAGATACATTATTATGATATTTATCATCATCTAGAATTGCCAAGTACACGCTTATTAGTGTCATGTTCGATTAAATGTTTAAATGATATATATATATATATATATATATATATATATATATAGATTGAAACAAACGAGTGGATGATCCATGTAACAAGACATGGATTGTTGAACAAGATTAATAGCTAGTTTTTCTTTATTTTGTTTCCCATCAAATCCACACATTTAGATTGAATCAAACAAGATGAACTAAAGGAAACTAGTGATGATCACTTCCCCAATAGACCCCGAAAGAAATCATGCATTACATGATAAGTTCCTTTTCTAGTTCCAAAATGTCCCAAATGTTAACGTYGAAAGACAATCCATGACCATAACAATCAGTACTCCTGCCTTCTCCCTTAGAAGTCTCGCCACCCTCTTTCACTGATTCCGTTTCTTCAAGCCAAAAGCTTTTAATAAACTCTTCTCCAGACGYATYGAAGGAGCAAGACTTCCCTTTCTCTGCCGCCTTTTCATTCTCCACGGCCAAGGCATTCTCCCACCACAGCATGGAATCGTCCTGAGGTGGAGGACGAGGAGGAGATGCTTGACTCTGCATATCTCCTGACCCAGAAGTGTTGTCCACAGTGGTAGAAGAAGAGAGCCCTGTCAACCACCGAGAATCTTTGAATCTCCATGGTTTAGGCCTGTATATCTTCTTCTTCTCAATTACAGTCGTATGGGCTCTCACCTCTGCCCCTCCAGAAATATTCTCCTTGCTCAGTTTACTGTTCCAGTAATTCTTGATATCATTGGCCGTCCTCCCGGGCAGTCTACCTGCGATTAACGACCATCTAAAAGCTAGAAAAGATTAATTATTTAGTCAAAGTATAGCTACTTAGATTTGATATATATTATAGATGGAGAATGTCTTCGTCTTCATGCCGGAAAACAATCGTCCTCTGGTGCAATAATTTTAAATTCTTCTCTCTCTCCAATGAAGTACAGGTTTGTTTTGCACTAACTAGAAGAAACACACCAAGTATTTACTCTAATGAAGTACATTGTGACACATGGCATCTCGGAACAACTAGGTGACACCCAGAACCACCTAGGCGACAACTTGCCTTAGCCAAAATGATGGTGTCCCAACTGGCGACCTGGCACTGTCGCCGACCTGGCGACCTGCCTTTATCCAGACATGGTTACCTGCCTTTATCCAGACATGGTTACTTGCCTTTATGCCGACCTAGCGACCTCGACCACAACTCAGGTCAGCCAGAAGCACCTCATCCAGGGCCAACCTATAGCACCTCGTCACTGGCCGAAGTGACCTCGACGCAAGTAGCGACCTCCCTCGAGGGCGCGCTAGCCTAACTATGCTCCAAGTGGCGACCTGCGAGACGTGCTCGTCGACAAATTCAGCATGCATATCCCAACAGTCCCACCATCCTTGGAAATTGGCCCACGTACCAAACGTTCCGGAGGATGGTCAACGTGCATGGCGGTTGCCTCCGAGGAGCTTGAACCAGTTAAGTACGACCTCTCGGAAATCTCGGATGCAGTATGTAAGGCCCACATCAAACAAGGCCTATATAAAGGCACCAACCCCAATGACGCAAGGAGGGGCAAATAAATACATTCTAGCTCTCATACTTTATGAATTTTTAGCTCGCGATTTACTACGAGAGTACTAACTTAATCATCGGAGCGGCCTCGCTGGGTTAGGCACCCCGGGTCCTCTGACATTGATTCCTTGCAGGTTCCTCTAAGGAGCTACCTAGCTTAGCACTCAACCCAGCTTGACACCTAATCCACCCCTAGCTCGGCCTTGTCAGCTTGTTACCTAATCCACTCCCAGCTCGGCCTAGTCAGCTCGGCATCCAGATCCTCATCCAGCAAAAATTTTCTACTTCTGCCTCTGAGTCATCGGCCACTTGGAAGTAGTCCGAACGACAGAGTACTGCCAAAACATTGATTCATCAATTGGCGTCATCTGTGGGAAAAGCTACAAGAAGCTAAGTTCTCACCTTCTGAAAGACCAAAAAAATGATTCATCAATTGGCGCCGTTTGTGGGATACGCTACAAAAGACTAAGTTCTCACCTTCTGAAAGGCTAAGTCCTCTTCTTCTAGAAAGCTAAGTTCTCACCTTATAGAAATTAAAGGTCTCACTTTCTAATTTCCATTTTTTATGAACTCAAAGGCACCTTTGAGTAGCATCAACACCCAGAACGAATATTGATTACTGGGGGGCAAAAACTCTATGATGAACCTGGAGAAATCCCTTATGACAATCAGACAAGTTCAAGCCGAACTCAACATCCCCAGTGCCCAAAATAAATACCCTGCTACTGGGAGCAGCTCGACGTATTCTGGTCGATTCAGAATAGGTAGCACCAGAATGACCTTGACAAATAGCAGTTCGGCGACAGGCACCTCGGATCATGGTTCCCGCAGGAAGTTGATGGCCAACAGACTAAGCAGCTCTGCCAACTTTATTTCAGCTCGGATAAACCTCATCAGTCATTTTCGCGAGGTACCCTTATCAGACTAAGTAAGTGTGTTTGGACTTGATGGTTATTTATATTAAGATACTTGAGCCCAAGTATGACTCCATTATAATTCAAACTAAAACATTCTGGTGACCATACCACATTACCTTATAACATCTTGGAATCCTTTACCTTACTTTGTACATTAGTTGTACCAACCCCATGCTTAGGGAACTTCATGGAAAACATAGTCCTATGATCTAGAATGATAAACCTAATGAGTAAGAAAATCTAAATAGAAGTTTACAAAAAGAATTTAAGTTTAATAGCTTTGACAAGGCATAATGCTAAAATGGAAGAAATTCAATATTCTTCATGAACATGATAACACCTTGGAAATTAAGAGTGGTCAAATTTCAAATGGATATTTATTATTGTGATGTTTGTGATTAAGTGTAAAACTATTCGAACTTAACTGATGCCATTGAGGTATACATGCTAATAATATTGCCTTATTTCATTAAAGAATCCTTTACCTTATGGTATCCAATAGTGATACCAATGTTGTGCTTAGAATTACTCCAAGGACAACAAAGGACCATATCCCTTCTCAACCAAATGTTTAAAAGTGTACTTAAAGAGAGAAATCATGTGATGAGTTTTCCCATCATAGCTATTCTATGAAAATGTATAATCTTAAAAGTTGTTATGCTGTGCATGTTATAAATACAATGTTGATTACATGATTTGAGAATTATTACTTGTGAAACAATCACATAATGAATTTAAAATGAAAAATCGTCAAACACTATAGAGTCGCTATATGTGAATTAATGGTGTATTGACTAAACAAATCAAATCTTG